CGTTCTCAGGTGCCGTTTTCTAGAAAAGCAAGAAATGAAAGAAAGGAGAATCATTGTGCTGCCGTCAGCCTTCTCTGCTGTTGGGAGAGTAGAACCCAGCTGCCTGCCTGGGATCAATGCACGTTATTATTTATTGTCACAGTGCTTGGAAGCACTAAGCATGGACCAGGGCCTCATTGTGCTAGGTGCTGACAAAAGCAGAACACAGGTGGCTAGGATTTTGTAGGCAATAGAGTACCTTTTAGGTTATTTTCTCTCCTGTCCTCACCAATTTAATTCCAGAATCCAGAGCAGGCCACAAAGGACTCACAATAGCCATCTTGTGTCTTTAGCACCAAAATGCAGAAGTTGGGAATGTCTGCTAGGGTTGCACAATGAACAGGAGGTGCATTCAGGGCCTTACCCATATGCAAAATATGCAGATGCGTCGGGCCCCTGAAATTTTGGGGCACCACTGGGTCTTAATATCCACTCACCCGTCTCTTCCTGCCCCTGGCTCTGCTTCCTCCGGAGATAAGCTAGTTAACTTAAAAGTAAAAAAGCCTGCTAGACCTATTAGCAGAACACTGAACCTGTGAAAGAGACATTCAAGTGGTAACAGCCATTTAGCAAACATTTGCCAACCCTGGTATATACCACCAGTTTCTGAATTTACTGTAAAAACAAATAGTTCTATAGCACCTTAGAGACCATCAAATATTTATATATATAGTATCGAGAGCTTTCGTGGGCACAACCCACTTCCTCAGATGAGCAAATGGGTTTTGCCCATGAAAGCTCATGGTACTATATCTATCTATCTATCTATCTATCTATCTATCTATCTAAAATAGTTCTATAGCACCTTAGACACCAACAAATATTATATATATAGTATCGAGAGCTTTCGTGGGCACAACCCACTTCCTCAGATGAGCAAATGGGTTTTGCCCATGAAAGCTCATGGTACTATCTATATCTATATCTATATCTATATCTATATCTATATCTATATCTATATCTATATCTATATCTATATCTATATCTATATCTATATCTATATCTATATCTATATCTATATCTATATCTATATCTATATCTATATCTATATCTATATCTATATCTATATCTATATCTATATCTATATCTATATCTATATCTATATCTATATCTATATCTATATCTATATCTATATCTATATCTATATCTATATCTATATCTATATCTATATCTATATCTATATCTATATCTATATCTATATCTATATCTATATCTATATCTATATCTATATCTATATCTATATCTATATCTATATCTATATCTATATCTATATCTATATCTATATCTATATCTATATCTATATCTATATCTATATCTATATCTATATCTATATCTATATCTATATCTATATCTATATCTATATCTATATCTATATCTATATCTATATCTATATCTATATCTATATCTATATCTATATCTATATCTATATCTATATCTATATCTATATCTATATCTATATCTATATCTATATCTATATCTATATCTATATCTATATCTATATCTATATCTATATCTATATCTATATCTATATCTATATCTATATCTATATCTATATCTATATCTATATCTATATCTATATCTATATCTATCTATCTATCTATCTATCTATATATATATTTGTTGGTCTCTAAGGGCTACAGGACTACTTGTTTCTAAAATTACGGAGTAACACAACTACCCCACTGTGAGTTTACTGTGTTAGTCAACAGGACCTTAGTTTAAAATTTGCTTTACATACAGTAGAGTCCGGATTATCTGACCTTCGGTAATCCAACATTCCGCTTTATCCGACATAGCCACTCTGAGGCTGCTATGCCGCATGCAGCCTCCCCGGCTGAAGAGGCTCCAGCAGTCTCCCGTGGGTCGGAGCCTCCTGCCAGCGTTACTTCGTCCCTATCCCTGCCTGGCCCCGGCCCCTTCCCTCCCTGCAGCTCCCGAGCACGGGCCAGGATAATGGCCCCGCTCGCTGCCCCGGTGCTCTCCTGGCGCCGCTGATGCCGCTCCTACCGGTGCCGCTTTGTCCCCAGGATCTGCAGGGAGGGAAGGGGCCGGGGCCAGGCAGGGATGGGGACCAAGCAGCGCCGGATACAATAGAGTCCCTATGATCCGATATTTTTGTTAATCCGACCACCTGTCGGTCCAGTTTAGGTGGATAATCGGGACTCTACTGTATATTCATTAGTGTGTTGCTGAAGATTATAAAATCACATCTCTAAAAATCATCCCCCTCCCAAGGCTGCTGTTGGGCAAGGGGGCACCAGTTGAATAGTCCTGTACAGGGTCCCAGAAATCCTTAGGATGTCCCTGGACACATGAGTTAAATTTACTTACTCATTAAATTACTTCCAACTGGAGTTAGGCTCCTCCCCTGCTTAAGCGCTTCTGAAAAATCCCCTAGGCACCTCTCTCCATCTTTAGGTGCCTAAATCCCTTTGTAAAGCTGGTTCACGTGCCCTTTTTTTTTTTGCCCACTCTCATTTTTATTGCTCTTGACTACCCTGCCATGTCTGACTCTGTCTGCCTAATGCTTTCTCCCTGCCCCCATCTGTGTCTACTCTTTTTTCTTCCAGCCAAGCATGTGATTCATTTGTTTCATCAGCTGCTCCACAGCATTCACAAGAAGTGGGAGCCCTGTTATTTCCAGCCTCAGCTTGGCCACGTGGGTCAGTCAGTGCAGGCCTGCTGACTGGGACAGAGGGAAGGCAAAGGGGGAACTTGCCCCAGGGCCTGATTCAAAAGGGCCCAGAATTCCCAGGGAGGCTGTAGAACCTCCATCACTGGAGATATTTAAGAGCAGGTTAGACAGACACCTGTCAGGGGTGATCCATGAGGGCAGGGGACTGGACTCAGTGACCTCTCAAGGTCCCTTCCAGTTCTAGGATTCTATGATTCCCAGCTCTTGTGGTTGCTACTGCGGTGGCAGCAGCAACCTGAGCCTTGGGCCTTTTAAATTGCTACCAATGTGCTGGGTGGTCCACTGCGGGTAGCTGTAAGGGCTGGTGGGCAGCAGTGTAGTGCAGTGTGGCACCAAGAGCTGGCTGCCTCAGCCACACCCCACCCCTTCTGGGATCTCAGAGCTAGGGTTGCCAGATGGTTTAACCAAAAATACCGAACACTACTCCCCCCAAAAAAGGGGAGACCAAAGTTGTTGAGCAAAAAAAAAAGGACTCAAGAGTTATTAAGCTAAATTAAAAAAAAAAAAAACTATCATGGCCCCTTTAAGAAATACTTTTGAGGCTTTCTTGCCCTAACAGGCTGCTGGCAGCCATCTGCCATCTTGTCTTCCTGCTCTGGGCCAGACAGCTCCCCTGCTAAACCAGGTAAGCACCTGGAATTTTTGCTTCCTGACCAGGAAAAAATCAGAAAATACCAGACATTTTAGGTGTCTGGTATTTTCTGAATTTTTTTTTTACCGGACAGAAGGTGAAAATACCGGACTGTCCAGGTCAATACCAGACACCTGGCAACCCTACCCAGAGCCCTGCAATTCTGTTAGCTGCCTGAGTCCATGTGTTCAGGGAGGGAAGATTTTGGGCTCCCTACATGCTTTAGGCCAGGGAGGTCTCAAACTTCATTGCACCAGAGCTGCTTTCTGGCAACAAAAATTACTGCATGACCCCAGGAGGGAGAGAGACGTCTGAGCCTGCCCAAGTCTTTCTGCCCTGGGTGGTGCAGCCATAGCCAAATGCTCACCCCATTGCCCTGGTGGGAGGGCCAAAGGGCTTCAGCCCCAGACAGGGGGCCTATAACCTGAGTCCCACCACCCAGGACTGAAAGCCCTCAGCCATCTGTTTCAGCCCTGGGGCCTGGCAATATAAGCCAGCCTTGGAGACCCCACTAAAACGTGTTCTGACCCACCACTAGGGAACCACAGCTTTAGGCTGCTTCACCAAAGTAAAGCTGCTGAAGAGCCGGCTGCACTGGTCAGCGGAAGGGACCCCCCCACCCAGTGTTGCAGAGCATCCGTAGCAGCACATCAGCACCACAAGCCTTAGGGTTTGGAGTAGAGCTGTAAGCAAGGTAAGGTGAGGTGAGAGAACCTCTGCTGAGCTGCCCTTGCAGCTCCCCAGGTGCCCAAACCACCCCAAGCAGGTAGGGATAAGGTTGTAGCAACCCTGAGGCTGTTCTAGTTCCCACCAGGGGCTGGCCTGGTCTTCTGTTAACCCTGGGATAAGGGAGCATAAATGTGCATGAAGCCACCTGTGCCTCCCCCTCCTGAGCTGCACGTGGGACAGCTCAGGGGCAGCGCAGAATAGGGGCTTGGATTTTGAAGCCATCCAGATATCATAATACACTTGTCAAGCCTGCCGGTCTGGTTCTCACAAATTGCTAAGGCAGTCCTAGGGTGCATGAAGAGAGGCATTTCCAGTGGCGTCAGGGAAATGTTCTTTGTAGCATGATACCAGGCACTGCTGAGACCTCTTCCAGAATAGTGTGTGCAAATCTGGTCTCCCATGATTAAGAAAGATGAATTCAAATGGGAACAGGTGCAGAGAAGAGCTAGTAGGTGTGTGACGCCTCCCCCCATGCTTTATGAAATTGATTTATGAATAGTAATATGCATAACTCAAAGATGCTTTGTACAAAATCCCTCATGTTACCTATCATTTTTAATATCTCAATCTGCCAGGTCTGTATATCTTATTTTGGTGTATGTATCATTCTTGTGTGCGAAGTTGGATATATGGAGTATGGAATGGCTTATGGTTTTAAATGTGCAAATGAAAGACATCCAGGATGTTTCCCTGGATATCTGGGTGATCACCTGTGAACAGCCCCTTTTGTCCTTTAAGTCTTAGCAGTGGTTGGTCTTAGGAAGTCATGTGACCTCCCTAACTGGTAGGGGTTGACCATAGAAGGGGAGAATATGAAACAAAGAATTCCCACCCAAAGTGGAATCTATAAAACAATGGGAAGTTAGCAGTCTCTTTGTCCTTGCCTGGCATGTCACCCCCAAGAGAATGAAACAGAGATCCCGTGGAACTTCCCTGGCTTGGGGGTTTAGCTGGAATTAGTTTTAGGGTAAGTTTGTAATAAGTGTTAGACTAGCTTGGGGTGGGGTGGAGGGAGATTTTAAATGTGTAATTTACTTTGCTCTGCATGTTTTCACTTGCAACCACTTAAATCCTACTGTTTATACTTAATAAAGTCACTTTTATTTACTATGAAGCCCAGTGTAAATACTTGTTACCCAGGGGCGCAACCAGTGTGTACATCCTCCTTCATTGTTAAAGAGGGCTTCCCTAAATAATTCATTTGGGGTTCTGACCCCATTTGGGGAGTGTTTTCCTAGGAAGTTGGGCCCCAAACTGCATTTTCCTTGGACCTGAAAAGTTTCAGTGTCTGTATTGCTCCTTCCGGGGACGGAGGGGAAGGGGGCAGTGATCTCAGCTCTGTGCCTTGACTGTGGGAGACCAGGAGATCTGGCCCAGCAGGACAGGGTGGTGAGAAGCCCCAAAGAGCAAGGAGGCGAGTGCCAGAGGCTTTGTTAGCACTTTGGGAATCGCCCCCAGGAGTCTTCTGTGACTGCAGCCTGTCGCAAGGAGGCTCTGCCTCACAAGAGGAGACTTAAGGAGCTTGGCTTGTTTAGCCTAATGAAGTGCTCTTTGTAAATACATCAGAGGGAGGGAGAGGCGTTATTGACCTAAAGGGCCCATGCTGGCACAAGAACAAATGGTAGAAACTGGCCATTGATCAATTTAGACTTGAAATTAGATGACAGTTGCCAACCATCAAAGGAGTGAAGTTCTGGAACAGCCTTCTAAGGGGAACAGTGGGAGCCAATAACCTAATTGGTTTTAAGACTGGGCTTGATGCGTTTATGGAGGGGAGGAGATATTGGAACTGCCTAGAGTGGCATCTGGCCCAACCCTATTAGCAAAGGTTAGTGATTATCTGCCACGGTGGTTGATGAGACACTGGATGGGGAGGGCTCTGGGTTACCACGGAGCATTTTTTCCAGCTATCTTGCTGGTGGGTCTCGCCAACATGCTCAGGGTCTGACGGCCCAATTGGGGTCGGGAAGGAATCTTCCCCCAGCTCAGAGACCCCGACCTGAAAGACACACTCCTTCCTAGCCCTCGCTTCCACACTCCCATCCATTCAGCTGTCCCCTGCCTCAGCAGCCTTAACCCAGTCGATGCAATTTGGGTGCATTTATACAACTGTCTGCAGTAAGCTGGGGAAGGGCTACTGCTTGGGGTGACTTTGCCCCCTCCCTCGCAGTCTGTGCTGGGCATCCCCAAAGCATGTGAAGCCCGCAAGAAAGCCAGCAGAGTTCAGTGAGCAGCGCTGGGAGTGTCAGAACATGTGGCAAGTCTCTAAGGCAGGGGTAGGCAATAATTTTTTGCTGGGGGCCACCTCAGAAATATTTGAAGTGGCCCCAGGCCGCTCCAGAAGGAGCAGGTCCTCGAGCGGAATGGGCCAGAATACTTCCCTGCTTCCCCACCCACAAACCATGATTAGTCTGGGGGTGGGAAAGCACATGAAGTCTTTGCGCCTCCCCCTCCCCCGAGAGGTGCCTGTACCCCCGGCGGTGGGAGGAGACTTTGCGCATTCCCCACCGCTCCCAGGCCAATCAGAGTTTGGGGGTGGGGGATCATGCAAAGTCTCCTCCCGCCCTGCCAGCAGTGCATGGTGCTTCTAAGTGGCAGGGCAGAGGAAACTTTATGCGCATCCCCCCGCTGCCTGGTCCTAATTGGCTTGGGGACGGGGGAGCAGTAGGGCCTCCACAGAGGCCTTTTTGCCCACCCCTGCTCTAAGAGGACCGTCCTGTCCTCAAGTCCTCTGAGAGGCTGCAGAAAGCAAGCACTTGTGCTCTGAGGCCACTGGCCTTTCTCCCTCTTCTCTTTTTCCTCCCTTGCCACAATTGATTCCTTCCCCTTTTCCACCACATTGTTCCGTGTGTGCAAGGGACTCTAAATTTCCAAGGCAGCTGCTGAGACTTCCTCTTTCCCACCAGACACCGGGGGCCTAGGGCATTTTGGTGTACACATTAACGGAACAGGATATCTGTTGGGCTGACCTGATACAGGGAAGGAGAGGGTGTTTGCTTCTGGAAATGATCCTGGCTTGAAGTGAGACACGCCAATGTGCAGAGGGTTAATTTGTGGCTTCTCTGAAATCCACGCCTTTCCTTGCCATTGACGTGGACGCTTAGTTTTCTGCTACTGCATCTTCCTATTTCTCTTCTGAGTCTTGCAGAACACTTTGTAACACCAGGGTATATTTAGTGGCTTGGCTGTCACTCCATTTCTTCTTCTGGGTCTTTTATGAATCATTCTGTGGTCTTCTCTTGTGTGTGCCGTCACTTGTCTTTCTGTGAACAAGAACGGAAGGAAGAGCAGCCCCACCCCCCCACACTTCTCTTCCTCAAATGACTCCCCCCCCCAAAAAAAAAATCCCTTCCTCAAAATGGAACAAACTTAAATTCTGTCTTAAACCATTTCTGTGCCCCTTTTGCCTTTGTTTCTTGCACCTGTTTCTGCATTTAATAAAATGGCTTGAATGTCTGAGAGGGAGAGACACACACAGAAAGGGAGAGAGAGATCAAGCCAATGGCTTGTGATTGGGTTAGAGTTAGTATTTAGGTCACTGCTTTATCAACTTCATTTATCCTGATCTTGCATGCAGAAGCAGCTTGTTTGTATGAGAAACCATGAAACAAATGTTGTCAAAACTGAATACCTCTGCTAGGTAGAGCCCTGGGAGTGAAATAGGGGGGTTGCAAGAACTGGGCTGGGGGCATTGGCATTGAGGTATGGTGCCCAGGACTGGTGTGGACAGCTGGAGCATTGGCAGAGCTGGGATTGAGTGCCTGGACTGGAATAGCAGGTCAGGGGGCAGGGCAGGAGAGAGATGTCATGGCAGAACAGTAGAGTGAGGAGCAGCTTGAGTTTGGAATGGCACGGGTTGCTTTGTCCTGCCCACAGTGCTGGGGCTCCACTTGCCCTGAGACAGCTCAGAATGGACCGATCTATTCTCACCAGCTTTCGGTTTTCCTTTTGTATTCCCAGGGCAATCTGATCTGAGCAAGGCTGAAGAGGCTGAAATAGAGACTATCAAGCAGCACAGGAAGGCACTGCTGGAAGACATTCAGGTATGGGCCACTCCCACCCCACATCTCCCCATCTCTGGATAGGCAAGTCTGCCCAGAACCTGCTCTCCAGAGATACTTTTTACATCCCATCTAGAACAGGAGATACCAGCAGGAGAGACTTTCCCGAGTAGGATCAGATCTGGAATTCTGTGGGTCACGTGGCACCAGTCCCACCACTAAGTAGCATTTAGTCTAGGGAAGTTTCTATTGCAAGAGATTGTCACAGCAAACACTCTACTAGCACACTTTTAAAAGGCTGGTGAATTTTATCAGCAATATTACTGGCAGCCCAGAGCCTCAGCTCAGAAAAATCGAGGCAGCTTTGTTGACAGGAATGGATCTTTGCCAATATACTGCTGCTGTCCCAATATTTGTAGTTACCATTCATTAGCACATACTACTTGTCTAGCACCATCGCTTTGCATGGCACTATACAAAATAAAAAAAATACTTTCTGTTCTATTGCATTCTGTTCACAGCCCCTGCCCTGTGCCAAGTGCAGGTGCCAACCTCAGGACTGTTAGCGTGTGTCTAGACTACACCTCTCTGTCGACAGAGAGATGTAGATTAGGCACGTCAAAATTGCTAATGGAGTGGGGATTTAAATACTTCATTAGCATAAACATGGCTGCCACCTTTTTACGAAACAGCGCTTTTTTGAAAAAAAAAAAAAAAACAGACCCGGCAGTCTAGACGTGGATCTTTCAAAAAATAAACCCTTTTTTGAAAGATCCCTTATCCCTCCTAAAATGAGGTTTACAGGATCTTTCGAAAAAGGGTTTATTTTTCGAAAGATCTGCATCTAGACTGCCGTTTTTGGGTTTGTTTTTTTTTCAAAAAAGCTCCATTTCGAAAAAAAAAAAGCGGTGGCCATGTTTATGCTAATGAAGCATGGGATATTTAAATCCCCACTTCATTAGCAATTTCGATGTGCCTAATCTACGTCTCTCTGTGGACAGAGAGGTGTAGTCTAGATACACCCTTAAGGGCACAAAACCCAAACTGGCTATCATTAGATTTAGCCACTTAGTAAGTGTGAACTCTGCAGGCACTGTAACAGCCTTAACTTGGTGTTACAGACAGTAGCCTGGGGCACTGCATTCTAGCTTGTCACCCAATCAAGTCTGCCTTTGTGATAGATGGTCCCTTATACCAAATATCACAATATTCAGGTTACACCCTGTCTGAAAGGACCAGTCACTTACCCCATGTCATTTGTACCTTAGATCCTATACCAAAGACAATGCTTATTATTACAGATAACGCCTGTATTACATTAACTAAAGGGTTATTAACTAGGAAAAGGCAATAAGGTAGTTATGACAAGGTTAAAGCTGGTAAACACATACACAAGTTACAGTTTTAGATTTAAAAAACAGAATAATGTTCAAACTCTGTCTGTCCTTTAGGGTTAATCCAGCTAAGGAGCATGGGGATCCCTTGCTTATGCCTAGAAATACTGCCTCTGAAAATGCCAAGCAGCTCAGAGATACAGCTCTGTCTGGCCCGGGATTTTTATTCCCTTCCCCCACAGTTCAAACTGTGATGGGAAAGGGTTTGTGCAGGTCCCCTCCTGATGGGTGTGCGGGGAACAATCAACAACGTGATTTTCCACAATGGTTCATCTGGTGTCTATGGGCCATCTTTTGTTGGGCAGGAGATGACATCTCTTGTGGTGAGCTGGTATTTCACGCTTGGGCATGCTTCTTTCCTGACTGTGGGGGTTTCCAGTTTCATAGGAAACATTTGTATAGTTACCAAGCAAACTCTTAAATATTACCTTCTAACACTGCAAAAGCGACAAGGAGTCCTGTAGCACCTTATAGACTAACAGATGTATTAGAGCATAAGCTTTTGTGGGCAAAGACCCACTTCGTCAGATTTCTTTGCCCACAAAAGCTTATGCTCCAATACATCTGTTAGTCTAAGGCGCTACACAACTCCTTGTCGCTTTTGCAGATCCAGACTAACACGGCTACGCCTCTGATACTTCTAACACTGATATTGTCAGGGGCTACTGATATTGTCAGGGAGCTTAATGCAGGCAGCAACTCACAAGCATCCCATAAAGTCCAAACACATCATTCTGAATCTAACACCCATTTTAACACTTCTCACACCAAGGTGATCCAGACTGGTTCCCAGCTGTGCACTTTTCAGTGTTCAGTGAGGCCTACGGGTCTTGCCAGGAGCTGGCACCTGGCCCTCCAGCATCACACCCTAGAGAGCTTGTTGAGCCAGATCAGGGGAGCTCTGTTGCTTTGCATTGGTCGAGGAACTAGCCCACAATCTGTAGGTGCCCAGATGCCCAGGTGACGAATGCAGGGGGAAGCCTTCCCAGAATAGAAGGTTAAGCCAAGTTCTGCCAGATAACTAATCCCATCTCCTGCTTCATGGTGTGAAGCGATTGCCATGGAGACAGGAATGCATCCCCCTGCCCTCCAGGTGCAGCTGGCCATGTGCATTGTTTCCTTGCCATCCTTTGAACCAGCTGGCACTGCTGGTAGGAAACCTGAGTAGATGGACCAAAAGGCAGAAGCAGGATGGCAGGAGACAAGATACTGAACTAGATGGGCCAACAGTCTGAATCTATCATCTCCCCAAAGCTGGTTGGTAACCAGCCACTGCCTGATAGGGCAGGGTGTGCTTGTGTGTCTGAGTCCCAGGGTGGAGATTCATCCCCTGGGGAGTTTCTCCAGTCATCTTGGTGCATTATCCCTGGGTTAAGCAGCTCAAATCGCCCAGCAGCTGAAAGACCTAGCACCAGGAATTAAGATTCATCATAATAAATCATTTGTATTACAGCAGCCAAATTTAGGGCTCTGTTGTGCCCTAAAATGCTCAGGGACAGTCCCTGCCCTGAAGGGCTTACCAACTAATTTGGCTCACTGGGCAAAGGGTGGGAGGAGAAACCGAGGCATGGAGAGAACCCCAAGGACTTGGCTCCCAAAAGCAGCTGACTAGGAGCCAGGAGCTATCAAGTGTGTAAAGCAGCCGAATTCCGTGTTTAAATGGTAGAACTGAGGGAGGAGCATCCCCACCAGCTCATCAGTGTGTGTGGCAATTGCTGAGTGACAGGGGCACAAGCAGCTCCCTCTGGTTCAGGATCAACAGCCCCACAGGTCCTTGCTGGCTTGCTGGTTCCATGCCTCTGCATGCCTTTCCTATGGGAGGGCTCTAGGGAAAAGATCGGCCTGAGCACGCTCACGTGGGTCCCTCTTCGCTTGCTCCCTGGCTTTGTCTGCACTCGACTGTTCAGCTAGCTGTGACACTCGGTGTTCGAACATTTGCCCTCCCCCTCCCCACTTACAGCCAGGGGCCTGCATGGGTGGACAAGGCCACCTGAGATGAGCATTCTTTTTTATAAGAACCTCCCCCCCGCCCCCCACCCCGCCGCTGGCCCCATCACAATGGCCAGGGAACTGGGTTGGCCCTGCCCATGCCAACAGGGGTGAAGTGAGACATTTGGTGTCTCGTCCATCCCCTGGCTCTCTCTCTCATCTCCGTCTCTTCCTCCTGCAGAGGCTGAAGGAGGAGATTGCGGTGGTGCTCGCGGAGATAGATTGCTTCCAAATCTTAGAAGAGAGGTGAGGATCCAGCCATAGGCTGTGGGAGCTTGCAGGGAGGTGGCGATTACATGGCTGTTCCTCTGATGCACAGGGGGTGTACTCTTCTTCAGGGTGTAGAAGGAACTGGGTGGGAGGAATGATTTAATGCTCTAACTGGAGCCTTTCCATTGACATCAGTGGGCTTTGGCTCATGTCCCAGGGGAGGGGAATTTTTCTGGGAAGGAAGCAATGACGGGGGCTGCTCGCTGGCAGTCTCTTCTCATGAGATTTCTCTTTACTAGAGAGCAGTGAGTTCAGTATAACACCAGCCCCTTCAGAGATTCCAGGCTCCATGGGGGTGAATACCCCCGGCTGTAGGATGGGCACAGGCAGGCCTGGGTGAGTGGCTTCTCTTCTTGGCCCTGGAGCAAGCCAGAGCTAAGATCTGGGAACCTCTGTTGGGAGCTCTGCCCCGCTCCTGCCCCACTCTGCAGGGAAATACAGCTGGCTGCTTCTCTTTGTGCCATCCTTGCTTCTCCCCCTTTGTATCTACAGCAAAAAGGATAAAGATCTGTGTTTGGGCCGGAAGAAATTCAACATGGACCCCAAAAAGGTAATGTGTTCTGTTCCTACCATTATTATTGGCTTCCTTTATGGACCCCTCTTTACTACTGATCAGATGCAAGCTAGCCTCTGGAAAGACATGCATTCTGCCATGGGGGCAGGGGATAGGTTGGTTTCTCAGCCCTATCTAGCAATGGCAATGCCCCATGCCTTGATACCTACTGAGAGCCCTGAGCAATGCTGTCTCCCCCGCATGACACATTGTGCAGACACATGTCAGTCAAAGCACCCCAAAAAAATTGGAAGAGAAATGGAAGGAGGAAAGATAGGCCCAGACATCATCTGACCACTAACTCTTGAGTCTGTAAGGGAGCCGGAGCCAATGCAGGCTCTCACAACCCATGAGCTGAGATTTGACATAGACTCCTCTAAAATCTATTCCTGGGTTGCCTGGGTAGGGAGGAAGTCACCAGACAAGATGTGAGGCTTTCTTGCACACAAAGCAGGCTAAGCCAGGCTGCCCCTGCTGACCAAAGCAAAGCAAGTCCAAGTCTCCCGCATGCTGGACAACCGCCCTCACCGCACGGTGCAAACCTCACCCCACCAGCAGAAGACTCAGAACCAGGTGTGGAGGCAGAAGTGAATTTGAATAACAAGAAGACACCTAAGGGCTGCTTCCTCTTCCCTCCCCCTCTCTGCCGGACCACTTTCAGTCTATGCGCTATGAAGAACCACAAGCTGCAATAGATAGAACAGCCCCTATCTCACTAACCGCAGCCATCGTCTTACTGGCTCCGGCTCTGCTGCTGCTGCTCTGACCAACTTTCCATCACGCCTCTGCCCCTCCGTGCTGGATGCTAAAGATGACCAGACAGCAGAGCCGGTGCTAGGCAGACTAAGCAATTGCTTAGGGCCCCCAGCAGCCCTAAGGGGAGAGAAGAATATTCCTGCTTAGGGCCTCTGCCCTTCAGTACCATCACTGTAACTCCTGGCAGTACCCACCACAGAGCACTGCCTTGGGGACATTCACTCCAGAGCACCAGCATTAGCACTCCTACTTGGCAACCTGGTCCCTTGCAGTCTGCTGTGTGGACCACGAGGAGAGGGATTCAGATAGCAAGTCTGGCTGTGTGCTCCCCAGTTCTGAGGAGTTGGGGAGTAGCAGGCGACCTCAGCAGAGTTGGATTTGGAAGGAGGCCTGCAGAGCTGGGGAAACATGATGTCCAGAGCTGCTTGGGCTGGGGTGACCATTAAACTGTCCTTCTGTGGCCCCTCAAAACCTCCTCACACACAGCCTGGGTGCACTCTTCCCTCAGGGGATCCAGTACTTGACTGACCACAAGGTGCTGACCTCAGACTTGCGAGAGATCGCCAAGTTTCTCTACAAGGGAGAGGGCCTGAACAAGACAGCCATTGGGGATTACCTGGGAGAGAGGTGAGTCTCCTGGAGCTGTCCTGAGTCTCTTAGGTCTTGTCTACCATGAGGGCTAGAGCCCCTAGCAGCCCCTAGGGTAGGCAGGCAGAGCTGCTTCTTGCACTGGGGGAGCTCGGCCCTGCCTGAAAGGTAGGTAAGCGATGTATACAGCCAGGGCTGGCCTTACTATGAGGTGAACTGAGGCGGCCGTCTCAGGTGCCAGACTGGGGGGGGGGGGGGCGCCACTAGGACCCAGAGTGTAGAAAATTGTGTCTGCTGCTGGTGCATCTGTATTCTCTCTGCTCTAGATGCACAGAGATGGTGGAGTGCTGTGCTGGAGGAAGGAGGGCACAAGAGACATAACAGGCAGGCAGGAGAAAAGGGGACATGGGGGCGTCATTTGAGCTCCCCGCCTCAGATGCCAAAATGTTGTGGGCCGGCCCTGTATACAGCTCAGTTTCGAGTGGTTTACCAGAATGCAAGGGTTAGCACTGGGGCAGCTGCATTGGTTGCTGATGGCTGAACCCCTGATGCAGACAAGACGTCAGTGTAACAGCTTTGCCAAAGCTCCAGGTGTCTTTTTGTGGAGGAAGAGGAACTGAAATGTGAAAGGAGGGAGGGGGCGTGTGCAGAGGGGAATCGGAGCTCTGTGGGGCTGCTCTGGGTCACGGAGTAAAGCTGCATCAACAGGACTCCCTCTCTCCTCCCACCCTCCCACTCAAGCAGGGATCCAAGGAACCTGCAGATCCTTCAGGCCTTTGTGGAATGCCACTCCTTTGCCAACCTCAACCTGGTGCAGGCACTAAGGTGAGTGAGCAGCAGTGGAGCTGCATTGGGTGCTCAGGTCTGGCTGCCTACTCAAGCTAACGTACACCAGAGGGCACAAGGCAAGGGAGGTGGCTCCAGCATGCATCTGGGAGGACTCTTGCCCCCGCTTTAATCTGCAGGTGTCCAACTGTACTAATGCAGTAAAACCCTTTCCTGGGGTAGTGACTCATTCCTGTGCAGTGCGTGGGGGAGTGTGACCCTCTAGGGGCCTCTTGTTGCCAATGTTCCTGCTAATCGTTTCCATCCATGTGTGGATTTTTCGCCTTCTGTGTGTGGAATAAATTTTGTTATGTGCACCAAGGCATGTGCAATGTGCACCACCATTAGAAACAAAAACATCTAGCTGTGAACACCCTGCTAATCAGCAGCATTGGAATCTCTCCTGAGTGGCCACAGAAGCACCCGGCTTACAGGGAACACTGCACTGTGATTCCTTGTGTTAGGGAAAAGTTACTTATCTGTCGTAGGAAGGCATCCTACTCTTTCATTTGCTGGCCTCCCCCATTCCTCCCAGAGTATCCCAGCATGCTGTGGTGTGTTGGGGGAGAGGGCTTGCTCTTTCTAGGGGTGGCCACATTAGAGCCGTCCATGTGCTGCAGGAGAGGGACCCTTCCAAGTTTCAAGGGCATCTCACTGAGTTCCCACACTGCCCTTGAGGGCTTCTTGTTGGGCTCTTGGGCACTAACAGCAGAGGAAGCCTGTGTTCTGGGGCAGGTGCCTCATTTGAGATTGGGCCAATGCGGTGAGGAGAGGCCCTGAGCACTGGAGCAGGTGTTCTGTCCTCCTCCTTTGGGGTTTTTTTGAGGGAGGGGGGCTGCTTCTCAGGGACAGTGTCCAGTTGTTGCCCTAGGAGCTGGGAGAAAGGTTCCTTGTTTCCCAGGGTGGGAGTCTCACTGGAGGCTGAGAGGAAAGCCTCCTGTGTCCTAGCCTGGGTCCCATCACACTCGCCTTGGGAAGAAAGGGGTCCGTTTCACATAAGGATGTCCTGCTGCCTTCCCTGTGTTGAGGGAGGACTCCTGCATGTCCACTGGAGAATGGAGGGTGCCCCTGGGGTATGGAGAGGGGTGCACTTCTCCAGGAGCTGCCTGGCCATTTCATGACTATCCCACGAGCCCCGTGTCCTTGCAGGCAGTTCCTGTGGAGCTTTCGGCTGCCTGGGGAGGCCCAGAAGATTGATCGGATGATGGAGGCCTTTGCCAACTGGTACTGCCAGTGTAACCCAGGAGTCTTCCAATCGACAGGTAGCTGCAGAGGAGGGGAGCAGTGACGAGCTGCTGGCATTGGCTGAGTTATTTGCTAAAGAGGGGCCATGATCCACCACTCACAACATATAGAAAGGCAGGATCTTCTGCTTTAGCTTCCCTTAGGCCTGGTGATCTGGGCCCCATTCCCTGTCACTTCTGCCAGTTCCTAACCCTACCTGACTCTTTCAGAGACAAGGGACAATGCTGCTCTCCATTTCACTGACAGAACCCACTGGGCCATGTCTGCAACTGGTGTGAACCCGCTCAGCTGCCTGGAAGCCAGCAGAGTCTACATGGGTTGACCCCCACTGGGGATCCAACCCAAGAGTTTCTAGTCTCTTACTCTCTGGGGGTATGTCTACACTACCCCGCTAGTTCGAACTAGGAGGGTAATGTAGGCATACCGCAATTGCAAATGAAGCCCGGGATTTGAATTTCCCGGGCTTCATTTGCAATTGCGGTATGCCTACATTACCCCGCTAGTTCGAACTAGCGGGGTAGTGTAGACATACCCAAAAGGAGTTGCCTCTTGTCACCTTGATTTCCATCTTCTTCTCATTAGTTCCGATCTCCTCTTCCTTCCTTCCACCTCACCACTCGTCTTCCTTTCCCCTCATGCCACACTCCACCACAGTCCCTCTCCAGAAGCTCTACCAACACTGATGCTTAAGGATAGCACTGCTCCTCCTCCTGTCAGTGATCTGCGCTCAGGTAGAGGAGTCAGTAAAAAGCCAGTTCAACCCATCCTGTCATCACCATCAGGCTGCTGTCTCCAGCCCACAGATCCTTGGCAAGGGGTGACTGCCCCTCCCACTGTGACTGGAACCTTGCCAGATCTCCAAAGGGAACAGGGACATCTCCCACCCCTTCCCCCCAGAACCCCAGGGATGTCTGGAGCGGTGATGCTGCCAGATACACGCCCATGCCTGAGCGCTCTCTTGCTTGCCGGCAGATACATGCTACGTGCTGTCTTTCTCCGTCATCATGCTGAACACCAGCCTGCACAACCCCAACGTAAAGGACAAGCCCCCCTTCGAGAGGTTTGTGGTCATGAACCGAGGCATTGACAATGGAGGGGACCTGCCTGAAGAGCTCCTGCGGGTAAGTGCTCCTGCCTCCTGGCATGGCTTGTTGCCAGGTGCTGAGCTGGGAGAAATACCCAACCCAGCCGAAGACATCATTAATACCCCTCCCGGGACATGGTGGCACCCGTTTCTGGATGGCCTCCTTCCCCAAGAGTGGGAAAGTCCATATATTCTTCCCCCCTTAGTAGCTCGGGAAGTGCAAATAGCCCAGGGCCTGCTGGGCCCAAGGAATAAGTGGACTGTACCATGCTTGGGGAGCAGGGGTGCTGCAGGAGAGAGGTATGGATGTCTGGAAGATGAGAGAATTTCTCATGGCCGGCAGACAGAGAGGGTGCATTTGAGAGACCCCGCCAGTGTAGTCTGGTTGGTCAGTGTGTGCTGCAAAGCATGATGGCGATAATGGTGATACCATCATTGTGGGCCAATTTCTGAACTCCTTGCTCACACTGTAAAAGCGGCGAGGAGTCCTGTGGCACCTTATAGACTAACTGAAGTGTAGGAGCATAAGCTTTCGTGGGCAAAGACCCACTTCGTCAGATCCATGTCAGATGACATGCATCTGACGAACTGGGTCTTTGCCCACGAAAGTTTATGCTCCTACACTTCAGTTAGTCTATAAGGTGCCACAGGACTCCTCGCCGCTTTTGCAGATTCAGACTAACACTGCTACCCCTCTGATACTTGCTCACACTGTGTAGCACCCATGAACATCCCCACTGGATCCTGAGGACTATTCGCAGAGCAAGGGACGGACGTGAATAAGGGGCTTAGAGTCTGGTTCTATGATTTCAGTGTGTCAAGGGTACCAGAACAGGGGGAGGGGTGTGGAGCCATAGCCCCATCACTTTTAAAAGTGCCTTCTCCCTTTTTTCCTGCCTTAAGGGTGAGCGATGAGAGGAGGGGGACAACTGAGTGGAGAGAGCCCTCAGGGGAAGTGGCAGAGTGGGGCTGGGAAGTGACAGAACACAGGTGGGACCTGGGGGAATGGGTCAAGGACTAGGGGTGGAGCTGGGGAGGACGAGGGACAGGGCCACTAGGGGGCAGAGCGCAGGCAGCCAGGAGGGGAACAGAGCCACAGTGTAGGTACTGGTGGCTCCCCCATTTCAAGGAAGCTTCTGGCCCTCCTACAATGTGTTCTCGCTGAGGGGAGCTTTGGTGTCTCTGCATGTCGTGCTGTTTCTGCACCTTAGGACCACGGGTTCCTCTGATCCTGAATGCCCTTGTGCCCCAGCCTCAGAAAGTCCAAAGGGATTTTTTTAAATTTATGAATTCCTATATTGTCTGGGGGCCATTCCCCCTCTCACTAGGCCTCTCTCTTCCATGTGGCACTGCCTGTGGGTTCACCCTCTGGCTCCGTTGGCAGTATCAGTACCCAGAAGGGGATCCACTGTTACAAGAGGGAGTCGTGAGGCTTGGGCCAGGAAGAGCCTTAAGGACCAGATTTCCAAAAGAGCAGAGCAGCTCTGTGGGCCGTATTCAGGGGCCTAAAGGGACAGAGCTGGCCTTGAAGGGAGACCAAATGCAGGTGTGCATTGATGGCAGCAAAGCAGTGTATGCATGTCCTGCTTTTCCCATGCCGTTCCCATAGCTGTGAAGACCAGTCATACAACACAAGGCTGAGCCAGGCACTTTGACAGCCCCTCCCTTCTCACCCAATCCCCTGAAAGAGGAAGGTCTCGCATCTCCTGCTCAGCTTTAGCCTGTAGAGAGGGGAACTGCACAGTGCTGCAATTGCAACTCTTTCTTTGGGTGCCCACAGCCCTAAACCACTGTGTTACCCCTCTGCCTGTGTGCGTGTGCGTGTGCGTGTGCGTGTGCGTGTGCGCCATTTCCCTACCACACCAATCTGTCCAGCTCACCAGCAAACTCCTCAGGACTCTGCCAATCTTACCCTGGCCTTGCCGGTAACATTCAGTGAACCCCTTCTCAACCCCGCTAGGGAAGTTTTTCAACCCCTGACTGCCCGTAGAAATACCAAGTCTGCTGCCTCCAGACAGACAGAAACCACACCTGCCTGTGGGCTCACAGAGGACACGCTCTTTCCCCTAGTATGCAACACTGAGATGGTTCATAGTAAAGCCAGCCCTTAGTGTCAGAACGCAACACAGAGATTTAAGGGATCCTTAGCCAGAGGAAAAGAGATAGAATCATAGAATCATAGAATAATAGGACTGGAAGGGACCTCGAGAGGTCATCGAGTCCAGCCCCCCGCCCTCAAGGCAGGACCAAGCTCCGTCTACACCATCCCTGACAGATGTCTATCTAACCTGTTCTTAAATATCTCCAGAGAGGGAGATTCCACCACTTCCCTTGGCAATTTATTCCAATATTTGACCACCCTGACAGTTAGGAATTTTTTCCTACTGTCCAATCTAAACCTCCCCTGCTGCACTTTAAGCCCATTACTCCTTGTCCTGTCCTCAGAAACCAAGAGGAACAAATTTTCTCCTTCCTCCTTGTGACACCCTTTTAGATATTTGAAAACCGCTATCATGTCCCCCCTTAATCTTCTTTTTTCCAAACTCAGCCAGAGGAAAAGAGATGGTGCCAAACAGCACAAAAAGAACACGCGTTTCAGTGGCTCAGACTTACTCTTAGCAAATGGCAAGCAGCTTTCCCACGTCCATCAAGAGATCTGCATGCACAGCCTCCCAGAGCCCCCGGGCACTGCCCCCTTTGCCCTCTAAAGTGATGGATAATGAAGGAGACCCTTGGCTACTTTTTTAGTCCAGAAAACCTTTGAAATGTAGTCTCTGAAACGTAACCCCCAAGCTCCTCGCCTCAGCTGCCTGGTCTTTAGGGAGTAGGTGACTAGTCCACTCTTCAGCCTCTGATGGATTTGTTTCCTCAGTTGCTTCTCTCAGAGCTTGATCCATGCTGACAGGTAAAGCCACATTCCTTCGTTTATCAACTGCCTCCACACCCTAATGTCAGAACATCCTGCCTGTGCCCATCCACAGCTCTGTATTCACAAACTGTATATACATCACACAGTGGTCTTCATGACCAGTGTGGCACCAGTTTTCATATGAGACCTCACAAGATAAGGTTTAGCTAAATATTCTGACAACTGGGTATTGGGTGTAAGGAGTTTGTCTGGCCTGCTAGGATTTGCTGTTCCATAACTTTGCACCCTTTGCTGGTTAGAATCGGGCACTCTTACCTGCCACAGGGATGATTTGGCATTCAGAACACTGTGTCATCTGTATCCTGTTCATGAAACCCCCCCAACCGCAGCCATGACTTTGTTTGGCACTCCCCCAATGCGCTTCTTCCTCAGTGTGGAGGGCTCAGATTTCTGGTACCATGTCACTTCCTGACGGTTGTTTGGAGGAAATTGCAGGAACCTTTTGGTCAGAATCTTGCATAATAAATGATGTCAAATCCCAGTAGCACAATGTGGTCCCTGTAACGGACGAGAAACTGGAATGCCTCCACAGCTGCGCAATGGACTGGCATGTGCCTGATAGCTCCCGTGTGTGTGTCTGCTTCTCATTGCTACCCTCTGCGCTTGTGTCTGTTCAAAATAGCATGCTACCCTTGTGGGAATTCGTGTGTGTGTGTGTGTGTACACATGCATGCACAGCCAGTCATTTATTTACAGGAGTGTTCCTCACCTGAAGGGGTTATACAGGTGTCTTCTTATATGTGCCTGACAGGGCCAGTCCTAACCAATTGATGGCCCCAGGTGACCGCCTGGCTCACCCATAGGGTTGCCAGATGGTTTTAAAAAAAATACCAGACAAAAATTTGTCAACCGGGCAAAAAAAAGGGGTGGGGGGTTGGGGAGTAACCAGGGAAAACTGGGGAGGGAGGAGGATTTGGGAGGTTAGGCCGAAATTTGGGAGGTCGCGGCCCACCCCTAAGACCGGCTCTGTCTGCGGCCCCTTGAAAATGGCGGCCCCGGGCAACCGCCCGGGTCACCCACCCCTAAGACCGTCTCTGGTGCCTAATTGTTGACTTGCAGGATTGTTCCTAGTGTGTGTGGTATGTGTGTATGTACATGTACCAACACCTGATTGCTCACTTACTGGAATGTTCTCCATTGTTTGTGTGTGTGTGTGTGTGTGTTTACCACACCTAATTGTTCACTTACAGGAGCTTTCTCGTGTGTGTGTATTTACTCACACCTGATTGCTTACTTACAGGAGTGTTCTCCATTGGTTGTGTGTGTGTGCATACGTAACAAGGACCTGTGTAATGGCCACATACTGCTCCCTTTTCGTCTTTGAGAGATACCATGTAGGCAGCAACTCCAGTCCATCCATATACAGGGAATGTCAGTGAGAGAGCTGAGGTCCCCCTGTGCTGCCTAAAGCTTTTTAATTTCTCTCTTCCTTTTTCTGTGGGACAGAATCTGTTTGAGAGCATTAAAAACGAGCCGTTTTCCATCCCGGAGGATGATGGGAATGACCTCACACACACTTTCTTCAACCCCAGCCGAGAGGGCTGGCTTCTTAAACTGGGTACGAATCCCCTCCTTGTGCAGCTCTCCCCCATGAGCATCCCCCAAGTTTCCTGCGCAGCAGTGGGCAGGTCTGCAGCAGCATTCTGCTGCCATGGGTTGAGCCTGACCCCTGGTGTTCAGATCTACTGCTGTCGGCTCCTGCACCTCCCAGAGCCTGCAGATTCAGCTCCCTCCTCCCTATCCCCACCCCAGTTCTGAGCTGTGCCAGTTCCCTGTGTGCATTCAGCATGGGGTGGAGGCTTTATCCCTGGCCACTGATCTTCAAGGGATGATGAGAGTGGGGAGGGGGCCTCTCAGGGACTGACGCCTTATGGTTCTTGCTGTTCCTAGGGGGTCGAGTGAAGACCTGGAAGCGCCGTTGGTTCATTCTGACTGATAATTGCCTCTACTACTTTGAATACACTACGGTGAGGGCTGTGCTCCAGCCAAGCAAATCTCTGCCAGGGGCTGTATTTTCCAGGGGTAATGAGAGATACACTCCACTCTGTGAACTCTGGACCGAGGTCAGACTAAGTCCCATCGTTCCCATCCCCACCCTCACACTGTGACCCACAGCTGCCATTTCAGACATGGTACCTTCTGTCAGGCAGAACTCCGGCCAGCTATAGCCATGGTCTTCAAGCGTCCCTTTGATTTGCCAGGGTGCTTTTGCCTGCTCTGTCATAATGCTTGGGATGAGGAGGGGTGTACCAAGGCAATGGGGAGCAACACTTCTTTGGTCCGGGCACAGAGAGCATATCAGACACTCATATTGGCTTCTCATTGGCTTCCAGGATAAAGAACCTTTGGGGATCATTCCCTTGGAGAATCTATCAGTTCGGAAAGTGGACGACCCCAAAAAGCCAGTAAGTTTCCCCCATGTGGTACCATGACAAGATGGGCCATCCAAGATGCTAGCAGGTTTATCCTCCAGCCCCACTCTGGGGCATTGTCCCAGGCAGCAGTCTGCCGTTGTGGCACCTCTTGCCCCGCGCTGGGACCTCTTGCCAGGCAGATCATCCTCCTTTTTAAAGCTTCACATGGGTGCAGGTGCAAAACACAGGATCCACAGCTGCAGAGACCGGGTCCAAAGGGCACTATTTATGAGGGGCTAGGGGAGCAGTAGCCCCCTCTCCCAAAGTTTGAACCCCTGGATTTCAAAGGTGAGGTCTGCTTAAAGCCAATACCCTGGATCCAGAAGCAATTTTGGAAAGGCAATGCCTTCCCTTGTCCATATTACCCACTGCCCACAAGCCTGGGGCTTTTTTGCCTTCTTCTGCACCCCAAGGCACAGGTTAAATCAGTAAGTAAACTAGTGTAAATGGTGGATTCTCTGTAACCTGAACCCTTTTTGAACCATGATTTGAGGGCTTCAGTAACTCACCCAGAGGTCGGGGTCTAATACAGGGGTGGATGGGTGAGAGTCTGTGGCCTGTGATATGCAGGGGGTCAGAACTGATGGTCGCAATGGACTTTGGCCTTCAAGTCTGGGAGTAAGAAATAGCGCTGTGCTGTTAGAGAGGCTCCCCCAGAAAGCTGACCTCAAACTGCCTTCCTTTCTGTCTCTTGTGTGTGGCCAGTGTTGGTTGCTGTATGGCAGGTGATGCTGTACTGTTACAGGTGCCCAAAAGATGCGAGGCAGCGTTCCTATTTGACTGTCTCTGGCAGGCTGTGTGAGGTGCAGTACATACCACAGGGTGCTCTCTGGGAACTTGTTCTCTCTCTCGGTAAAACATGGGTTAGTGGGCGAGACAGCACAGGGGTCATTGAGCACAGGGTGGGGCTGCATTTACTTTCCAAGCATCTGAGCTACTGGAATCGAGCTCAGCAAGGTTGAGATCCCTGGAGCGTTACAGGCAAAGTGCTGGCCCCAATTCAGGAACTGACAATCTCACTGCCACCTCTGCAAACTCCCTTAGCGTGACCTCCCAAAGTGGAGCTCCTGGAACAATGGCTTTACAGCCTGACCCCTCACTCCCTGCATGCCTCTCCCTGCAGAACTGCTTCGAGCTCTTCAATCCCAGCTGCAAGGGGCAGAAGATCAAAGCCTGCAAGACAGACGGGGATGGGAAGGTAGTAGAAGGCAAACACCAGTCCTACAAGATCTCGGCAGCCACGTCGGAGGAGCGCAACTTGTGGATTGAGGCAATAAAGTAAGGGGACAAGACCAGAGAGAAAGGAGATGGCTCCCCTGGCACGGTGAAATGGGGTGGTGTGAACTCCGGTCAGGGGAGATGTGCCACAGGCAGAGGCCAGAGCTGTCTGTGGGGCGCCAGCAGGCAGAGATGTAAATGCCAACGCTGTGCCAGCATGCAGAGCTGGGGGCCTCACCTTGCCACTGTAGGGCACTGGGGCAGCATGTTCAAGGCAAGGGAGCAGAGAGACTTGAAAGCCAGTGGTCGTCAGTAAGGGAGATCGATGTTCACACTGCCAGCATTCTTGACCCCCTCATCTCTCCATCCCTGTGGTTCCAGGGGCAGAGCTATCTTGCACCTGGAGGCCCTTGCAGAGAACTCCTGCTGCCACCTGCAAAGCTTGACTCTCCAGTAGTTGAAGGCACAAGGTGCTGCTGGGGGGCCTGCAGATCCTCTGGTCCGGGAAGGGCTCCATTGTTTGTAGGCTCAGAGAATCCTGAGGTTTGCTGTGTCATTTCCCAGCCCTGACACTCTCTCTCTCTCTCTCTCACTCACTGTCCAGGACCAGCATCACCCGGGATCCCTTCTATGACCTGGTCTCAGCCCGTAAGAAAAAGATTGCCAGCAAAAACTGAGCCGGCTGCTGTCCCGTTCATGATCTTTAATAAGTGGGCCATATTGTCCCTGACAGAGTTCAGCCAGGGAAGGATGCTCAGGGACCATCGCCTTCCCCTACCTCCTGACTGCCAGGCTGACAAACCCCATTTGACGCCTGTCTTTCCAATCTGGGGATATGTCTACACTGCAAAGTTAATTCGAAATAACAGCCGTTATTTTGAATTAACTTCAATAGCGTCTATACATACAAACCGCAATTTCGAATTGAATTCGAAATTGGTAAATTCGAATTTGGTAAACCTCATTCTACGAGGAGTAACGCCAAATTTGAAATAGCTAATTCGAAATAAGTGCTGTGTAGACACTTAATTCGAATTAGCTGGCCTCCAGCCCTTCCCAGTTTCCCCTGGTGGCCACTCTGGACCACACCAGGAAAAATTCTCCTCCTCTCCCCAAGCCCCGGAGTCCTTAAAGGGGTAGACACTGGCCAGACGGCACGTGTCAGAGCCAGACCTACCAGCAGTCTCTGCCCCTGACCCAGTGGCCCCAGGATGAGCCGGGCAGCCAGTGGTAGCCAGCCGCCCCCCGCCCAGTCCCCCAGCACCCAGGAGCCAGTCAGGGGTCGTAGATGCCAGGCTTCCTCCTGGACCAGTGAGATCATGGACCTCATTGAGGTTTGGGGGCAGGCCCCCAATGTCCATGATCTCCACACTAGGAGGAGGAATGTGGCCATCTATACCCGCATAGCTGCCACCATGGCCCAGAAAGGCCACAGGCACACCCAGGAGCAGGTGCGCCTGAAAATTAAAGAGCTGAGGCAAGAGTAAGCCAGGGCCACTCGGGGCAGCTCCTCAGCAGGAGCAGACACCTGCCCATACTTCGAGGCACTGGACCGCATCCTGCGGGGCGGGTTGGTCCGTGCCACCCCGGGGGGCAGCAAGCTGGGACCAGAGGGCCCTGACCAGGGCACAGACGAGGAGCCGCCACAGAGGGTGCCACACTGGCCGGACCCCTGAGCTGTCCCAGCAGCAGAGTCACCAGGTTCGTCTGGGGAGGCCACACCATGTAAGTGCCATCACTGTCCCCTTCCTGGGGGGGGGAGGGGTCAAGGGACCGCGCGCATGGGCCTTGCTTACCACAGATCATGCAGCAACCTGTGCACGTGCGAGCATGTGCCGTGCCACCCCTGGGCAGGTGGCTCCAGCTGCGTACCACGCAGGGGCTGTGACCTGATAGCCACACGCATGTGTGAAGAGACCTGACATGCTCCTGACCCCGGGGCGGGACACAGCAGGACGCCCTCCCTTCACAAGCCCCCTCTAACATCCCCCCCCACCTCACTCATACTATACACAGCACAGGAGCATGGGTGCGGTCTCGAGGCAGCTCCCACTTCCGGGGATAGCCGGACATTCCGGCCATGGCCTTTGTGCAAGCACAGCGGCTCTGACGGTGCAGGGCACGGTCATCCTCACCTCGCAGAGGGGGGCTGGGCTTCACCCACTGTGTCCCCAGGGAGAACTGACCACTTCTCTTCTTTCTCCACAGCCGCACCAGCTGCACGTGCAGGGTGCACCACCCCGCCCGGGACATGCTCCCGCACCCGAGTGCTCCACAGGACAACTGCAACATGGCAGGGGTACCGAGAGCAGCAGCGGGGGGCCCTGCGAGCCCTGGCCTGCATCATGGAGCAGCGGGCACAGGAAGAACAGGAGTTCCAGAGGGAGCTGCTTGCCCAGGGTCGTGCCCTCTGTACCCATCTGGAGACCCTGGTGCAGCACGTGCTGACTTGTGCAGCTCAAGCACCTGCTGCCCCCCCGCTACCATTCCTCCTCCCACTTCTACTCCCCCTCCCGCCTCTCCCTCCTCAACCTCCACACCCTCCTCCTCAATCTCCACACCTCCCACCTCACCCTCCGCACCCTCCTCCCCATCCCCCCAGGGACGCCGAGGCCCTCGCACCCGCCATGCTGGGAAACATGTGGCCTGATGAAACCCTGACCCCTGAGCGCTGAGTTTCCCCTCGCCCTTCCTCCCCTTGCTTCCCCCTTCCAGCTCCCTCCTCCCAGTTTTCCCCCTCCCCTCTCCCACCCTCTCTTCCCCTCTCCCACCTCCTTTCCCCACTCTCACCAGAGTTTCATTCCTCCCCCCCAGTTTTGTTAAATAAAGACAGTTCATATTTATGAAAAAAATGTGTCTTTTATTTGACATCAGGAAGGGGAGCTAGGGAGGGGTAAATGGAAGGACGTGAGGGAGGAATGGGGCACGAGCCCCCGGTGGGGAGGACTGGGGTGGCTCTGAGGGGTGGATGCTCTCCTGCAGGTCCTCCTGGATCCTGACAGACCCCAATGGCCCTCCCAGATGGCAGCCTGCAGCAAGTGCAGACGGGCTAATGGCAATGATCCCACAAGATGCACCGGCGTGCCCAGGGGCAGCTCTGGCTCCATGTGGCCGAGTGCTGTGGTGTCCCGAGTGTGGGCACTCAGGACACTCCAAAACAGGACTGCTTTGCTGTCCCTCATCGAGGTAGACAAGCAAGCGGGGAACCCTGAGAACTGTCTGTCCTGGGTGGGGGTAGGGTCCCTTTAAGCACGGAGCTCAGTTAGCCTCAGGCAGCAGCTCCACACACTAAGTCCAACCTGATGCCCTGCCGGCACTGGTTCCAGCCAGCCTTAACTTCGGTTCAGGGTCCACTCAGTGCGGATGCGCTATTTCGAAATAGCAAAACACTATTTCGAAATAGTTTTTGTGTATAGATGCGTTATTTCAAATTAGCTTAATTTGAATTAACTATTTCGAATTAAGTTCACTCAAATTAACGCTGTAGTGTAGACATACCCCTGGAGTTCAAATCTGAAAGGGAGGAGGTTGATGCAGATGTGGACCTGGCTATGGGCGTGGCTAACAAGGGCCTGGCAAACAGGTCTCTGTGAGGGGCTGCGGCTCTGGAGCGACACCTTTGTGTTGACCTTCAGTCCTCCCAGTCTTCTCCCAGCCAGCAGCACTCCTGGGGGCTGCACGGCTGCACTGTTTCAGGGGAGCAGAGCTCTGCATCCCAGGTGCTCCTGGTCAGCAGCAGAGAGAGGAGGACTGGCGAGCACATACAGTGCCCTGGGGTTTTGAACTCCGGTCTCTTGTGTAAAAATCCCAAACCAGCCACTGGGTGAAATGGTCTTTAAAAGGTAAGAGCTGCACAGGCATGACTACAAGCCTTGTCTAGTAAGTGGCATGCCCAGGGTGATGAATCTCTGCAGTGTCTGGACATGGAAAGACACTGACCAGCTGGATACGGTGTCTGGTTAGGGTATAAGTGTGGTGACTAACAAGCAAGGAAAGAAGGTGAAGGCAGCCATGGAAGACCATGATGCCCACTGGGAGAGGTCCACACCTCTGGGAGATGGTAGGTAGGAGGGGAATTGCAGGCTGGACTCTCAGCTGCTTCTGGGCTAGGTGATCTAATAAGCTATCTCCACCTCCTCTGATACCCTCTCTGCTCCCAACCTGTAGTTTGGAGGGCCCCTGCGTCTCTTCCCCTCTCCTACCATCCCTGCTGTTTCTAGCCTCTCCTTGGCTCCTTCCTGTGCCCTCCTTCCTGCCCCTTTCCTCCTGTAGGGGGCTCTGTCCACAAGGAAATCTGCAGCAAGCCCCGTGCAGCCAGATTATTTATTTTGCCAATGCACCAGGGATGGGGAATTAATTTCAAGAGGCAGAGACTGTATCTCGGAGTCGGAGCACGCGCTCGCCCACAAGAAGGAACGTGAAGGTTTTTGTCTGGTCTCTTTTATAGTGTGTCCGGGATTGAACCTCCGAGTCTTTCATCTGACAGTGAGTGAACTTGCCCCTCCAGACCCATAGGGGCTCCAGTATAGGGATGGAAGGCTGGATCGTGGGAGGCTGGGAGAGGGGGTAAGAGGGAAGGGCTTAGAGTCTTGCCCTCAGCTGGCAATTTCTTCAAAAAATCCTCGTTGAATGTTAAAAGATGCCACCAGCTTCCTGGCCTTGCCCAGAAGCAGAGATTCTGGGATTGTGTTCAGTCCTTGTGCCTGCCATATTCCCCTCCAGAGACATGGACCCCATGTCTGTTCTAGGGGCACGGAAATCTAATGCAGGGCTCTTATCTCAGCCCCCACCCCTCAGTTAGCTCCTGCAGGTCCCTTTGGGGGCTGTCCCCCATATGTTCCAGAGCTAGATCACTCCAGAGTAGATTGTTTCGTGGGGAGGGGGAGCAGGGCAATGAGTAGGTAACAGGAAAGGTGATGGGGCAAGAAGTTATTCTACTCATCCATCCAACTAATCCAGCAACACAGGAACAAGGGTAGCGGGTTTCCCTTCTCCAGGGGGCTGAGAAGGGGAGGAGAGGGGGCAGAGTTTGTCATCCTTCCAAATGCGTGCTACCCACTGACTACACAGGCTGCACGAAGTTTACTAGACAGGCACACCCACTACCCACACACCCTCTATGAACACCCGCCTGCTGAGAGCCCACCCCAGCCCCATGCACACACAATAGGCACAATTAGCAACATTGGACCCCTGCCATAGGCTGCCTCATGCTGGGCATTCAAAACTTGAGTTCCCCATACCTCAAATCCACATGCTGTTGCTGCACCCACCCCCCTTTACAGCACCCACAAACTCACTACAGGAATGATCTGTGTGGCTCCAGCAGCCAGGCCCTGGACGCTGGACATTTACAGTGGCTCACTGGCCCAGACACCCATTCTCCTGCATATTCCTACTAGAAATCAGCGCGTGCGCTCGCGCACACACACACACGCTATTAGATAGCACATTTGACAGATTGATGGCTAGCAAAAGCACTCGTCTCTCGTCACAGGCGGCACGGGTGACGCACACACACACACACACACACACACAAGCACACACCCACCAAGGGAAAGCTGACACTTGTCCCCCTCCTATCAAGGACTCCTGCACGCAGCTGGTAATTTATTTTCATAATAAATTGCCATCGATCTTGGTAAAAGGCCAGGAGGAGAACAACGCAAAGCCAGGCAGCTCACTGCATCCTGCGCCTGCCCCTCCCGCGCCTGTTTATCAGCTCCTCCTTGGAAATATAATACATTTTAAAAGGCTTTCTAGAAATCATTTGCAAGCAAGGGAGGTGGAAGCTGGGAGGGAAGCCAGGGGTTTCAGGCAATTCAGCTTAGAGAGCTGTGTATGTAGCAACGCACATAAAAAGCACTGCGCAGAGGAAGGGGTGGGAATGCTTACGAGAGAGCTGGACAGGTGGCAGGGCCCAAAACTGAATTCTGAAATAAACTTCAGTGCCAGATCCCAATGTTGTGGTTTGCACCTGTCTCAAAAAAGGGCAAATTGGATCCTTCAGCCATGCCTGACCTCAGGTGAGTGGGGGGGAAGAGGGGTCAGATTTAGAACCGAGGGTGTGTCTAGACTACAGGGTTTTGTTGACAAAAGTGGACTTTTGTCGACAAAACTATACCTGCGTCTACACTGCTGCTGAGTTCTGTCGACATAACGTCGACAGAACTCAGCAGTTTATTATCATTATTTTATGAGGAATAATGCCTTTTGTTAACAGAGTTCTGTCGACAGAAGGCGTTATTGCATCTACACTGTCCTTTGTGTCTACACTGTCATGTCGACAAAGCGGTTTGCTTTGTCGACAGAACTGGATGTAGTCTAGACGCTCTTTGTTGACAGAAGCTTTGTTGACAGTATCTGTCGAC